GACCAGCTGGAGCTGATGGACCAGCTGAGCAGTGTGGAGACCCAGTTGGCATATGCCCAGAGGCAGCTGCGGCACTTGAGAAAGACCAATATCTTCAGCATCACGTTTACCATCTCGGACGAGGGGCCCTTGGGCATTATCAACAACTTCAGGTTGGGCTGCCTCCCTGACATCCAGGTGGGATGGGATGAGATCAACGCCGCCTGGGGACAGACAGCCTTGCTGCTCTTCAGTTTGGCCAAGATAGCTGGACTGCAATTCCAGAGGTATCAGCTTGTTCCCCGCGGGAACCATTCCTACCTCAAGTCCTTGACTGGTGATGGGGTGCTGGTTTTGTTCTCGGATGGGAGTCACAGCGTCTTCTTGAACAACAAGTTTGACCGTGGGATGAAGGCCTTCCTGGACTGCCTGCAGCAGTTCGTGGAGGAGGTTGAGAAGGCGGAGGAGGAGTGCTTCTTCCTGCCCTACAAGATCCACGTGAAGGAAGGTATGATGGAGGACTCCTGGGGCAGTGGGAGGTGCTACTCCATCAGAACCCACCTGAACACAGAGGACGAGTGGGTCAAGGCTCTTAAGTGCATGCTTACCAACTTGAAGTTGCTTCTTGCTTGGGCTCCGCTAAGGTACTGTGGCAAGAAGAACCCAAACTGAAGCCATTTTGAATAGAGCTTCCATTTTGAATGGGGGTCAAATAAAGTTCCAGTTCCCAAGACCTCCTGCTTGGCAGAGGGAGGCATGGACCTGGGTAACTGATATCCTGATTTCAAGTTGAGACGTGAGTTGGGGGGCAAGCTGCCCTGCCGTACTTGAGTAAGCCAACTAATGGGAACGAGATAAGTGTACCACATAGATAAATGTTCCTAGGAAAGTCTCCTCTCTCTGAGTACTGATTGGTGGAAAAATGTAACTGTAACTTGGCACAGATGTTGTGGTTTTCAGGCTTAAAAGCTTTGTAACACTCTGGCTTGGGGTTGCAGTTCAACTCCTGGGTCTGTTCTGTGACTCTGATTGATCAGTAGCAGCTTGATTACAATATTTTGTGTGTGTGTGTGTGTGTGTGTTCTTCATGAAATTGACTTGGTGTATGAGTTGTGCTGGCTGCAAGTGGACCCTATAACACTGTCAAAATTAACTTCTTTTCTGAAAGACTAGGAAAATAAGATCGTACAGCTCAAGAGTACGACATATTCAAAGATACCATTTTGTCTTTTTTTTTTTTTTTTTTTTTTTTTGAGACAGGCTCTCCGGAGCTCAGGTTGACCTTAAACCCTTGACACTCCTGTTTAGGCCCCTGAGTGCTGTGATTACCGAACCAACCAGGAATGAGTTTTAAATTTTTAATTACATCAGAGGCCCTTGGTGTAGCAAATACATCTAGCACCGCTTAGGTGTATTTGCTCAGAGTGGCCCAGAGGTCATTCTGCGACCCTGTGTCTTTTTTCCTTGTATCTTTTCTCTGGTCCACCTCCACCCAGGCATTCAAAAGGATAGGGGAAAAAACAAAGACAGACATCAGATCACTCTTGATTAGAAAGTAATAAAGAGATGAGGAGGGAATTGGCTGGAGGTGAGCGGAGTCGGGGTGGCGGGGAGAGAAATCGAGGGTTTGAACTCTTTGAGAAAAACTGTAGCCCTACTGTATGGAGTGGAGCTTTGGAGGGTGGTAGTCATGGGAACCAGACATCAGGGATCACGAGTTTTTTACTGTTGTAATGCATGAGCCTTTCCTTTTTATCTCTAAGACAATTTTAATAAATGTTTACATGTTCTTAAATGATTCAAAGTGTGTCGTCTTTGAGACTGGATTGCCTAAAGCTCAAGCTTCCCTGGCATTCCATATTGCCATGCCTCAGCCTCTACTATGCTAGAATTTTTGTGCCGCTACAACTGAGAGGTGTCTCCTAATTAGGTATGTCATGTTGACATTACTTTCTGTTTTCAGAGCCATGGTCTATATAGCTCAGGCCAGCATGGAACTCTGTAGATCAGGTTGTCCCCTAGTTTACAGAGATCTGCCCGCCTGCCTCTGCCTCCTGAGTGCTGGGATTAAGAGTGTGTGCCGCCACTGCCAGGATTTTTGTTTGTTTGAAATTAGCTTTGAAGCCTGGGGATACATCTTTGTCGAGTTTTTGCCCAGCACACAAGAGGCCCTGGGTTTGGTCCAACTCATCTTTTTGTTTGTTTTTCGAGACAGGGTTTCTCTGTGTAGCTTTGCACCTTTCCTGGAACTCACTTTGTAGACCAGGCTGGCCTCGAACTCACAGACATCCTCCTGCCTCTGCCTCCTGAGTGCTGGGATAAAGGCATGTGCCACCACCGCCCAGCAGTCCAACTCATTTTAAAACAAACACCTTGCCTGGTACTGATGGCAGTGTAAGTCCAATGACTGGAATGTCTGGGAAGGAGCTGGAACTTTGTATTCAGTTACATAGTGTCAAATGATCAGTTCCTTGTGCCATTAGTTACAACAAAGCATCTTCCCCAAGCGGGATGTAGAAGTGAGAGGGTTCAGAGACCCTTAATGTAATAATGCGCCAGGGCAGTGGTGGTGCACACCTTTAAAGTGCTCCAACTGGCCTGGAACTCACTACATAGCCCAGGTCTGGAGTTCCTGATCCTTCTGCCTCTGCATCTCCTGAAAGATTACAGGCAAGTGCCTGCTCTGGACATTCAAGCCGTTCTACTGTTTCTTCAGCTGCTGGTGGCTGGGCGTTCCCTGAGCTGGCAGCTGTACATTCCCTGCTGGGTGCTCCTGGATAAATTCAAATTCATAACTGCTTATCTTTAGGCAAAGGCATGCTATGAAGATAAAAAATCATATCCACATTTGAGAAAGGACTTGTTTCAGAGGCCAGAGATTCTCTGCTTTTACCTCTGCCTTTACTTCCCTTTCTTAGACCCTCACTCCCCAACCTGTGTTCTTTAATTCTCCAGCAAGCACCCCTCTGGGTAACATCATGCTGAGCGCTGGGTACGGTTCTTCAGTTCTTCTTCCGAAGAACCTGCTGGAGTTCCTAAGGAGATATGTTTACTTTTCTGTTTAGTACCTGTCTTTTTTTTTTTAAATTTATTTATTTACTATGTATACAGTGTTCTGCAGGTCAGAGGAGGGTACCAGATCTCATTACGGATGGTTGTGAGCCACCATGTGGATGCTGGGAATTGAACTCGGGACCTCTGGAAGAGCAGCCAGTGCTCTTAACTGCTGAGCCATCTCTCCAGCTCCTTAGTCCCTGTCTTAGGGTTACTACTGTTGTGGTGAAACGACATGTGGTGACCGGAAAAGCAAGCTGAGGAGGAAAGGGTTTATTAGGCCTACATTTCCACATCATTCTTCATCCCTCAAGGAAGACAGAACAGCCACTCAATTAGGGCTGGAACCTGGAAGCAGGAGCTGATGCAGAGGCCACAGAGGAGTACTGCTTACCGGCTTGCTTCTCATGGCCAGCTCAGCCTGCTTTCTTATAGAACCCAGGACCGCCAGCCCAGGGGTGGAGTCACCCACAATGGCTGCCCCGCTCCCCCCATCAATCACTAAATAAGAAAATTGCTCTACAGATTCACCCACAGCCTAATCTTTTGGAGGCATTTTCCCAGTTAAGGCTCCTTTTTCTCTGATGATTCTAGCTTGTTTCAAGTTGAACTAACCAGCACCCCCAACATTTATATGTAATACTCCACTTGGATAGAGATGATCTTTATGAGGTTTATATAAACCCACCAAACTTTTTAAAAATTGAAGGTTTAGTGGCCACCAATCTGTGGCTCTCCTAAGCCTAAAGTAGGTCGCTTCCGCCCCCTAGTGGTATTTGTCGGTTCTGACAGCCACCAGTGGAGGCCTGTTGGGTTCTGAACTCCTGGCAGAGGGAGCTACATCTGATGCTGTTGTCACTTAGGAAGAAAAGACAAGGACTGGGTAACTCTGGATTGAAGGGTGCAAACCTCATGTAGCCTGCTCAGGCTTTCCTGCTTTGAAGCCTAGGTAGTTTTTTTTAAAGATATGAAGAAATGATGCAGACTAAATAATCTTAGACTTGCAACACAGACCCTTCCTTTGGACCCAGGACTATTTGATGCTCAAACCCCTGCTCTCCCCAGGACAGCATGCTGAAGACATGTGCTCCAGATGTTGACCTGAACTCTGGGATGGATAGGGACAAAGCATCCTGGTAGTTTTTTTCTCAAAAGATGCCAGGCCGGGTGGCAGTGGCGCACATCTTTAATCCCAGCACTTGGGAGGCAGAGACAGGCGGATCTCTGTGAGTTCGAGGCCAGCCTGGTCTACAGGGTGAGATCCAGGAAAGGCATCAAAAGTACACAGAGAAACCCTGTCGGGGTGGGGGGTGGGGGGTGGGAAGATGCCAGGTACTGCCAACTCTAAAGGCCATACAAACCATCTGAGAATCTTGAGAAATTGGGGAGCAGTTCTAAGAAGGAACTTGGGGTATTCTACATCCAGTCAAGATCTGAGGAGATGCTGATGTTGCTGGCTTGCTGACCAAACTTGGAGTCTTGAGTGGACTCTGGAGCAGTGCTTAGCAATTACTTACCTTTTTATTCTTTCCTCACAGTACACTTGACAATGTTGGGAGACAGTTTTGGTGTCACCATAGGGGTGCAGCATGCATGCCCTTCATTAAGTACAGTCCATGAGTGTTATAAAACATCTCACCACTAAGGATTATTTGCCCAGAGCCGGGTAGTGGTGGCACACGCCTTTAATTCCAGCAGGAGGCAGGAGGGTCTCTGTGAGTCCGAGGCCAGCTTGATCTACAAAGTGAGTTCTAGGACAGCCAGGACTGTTACCCAGAGAAACCCTGTCTTAAAAAAAAAAAAGAATTATTTGCCCAAATGTCTGGTATGTAAAAACGTGGAATCTCTGCCCTAGATTGGGTGTCAGACGACCCAGATCTGACTGCTGTTAGCCCAGCTCTTACCTGAAAGCAGTTTTGGATACAGGGGCCGCTGGTTTCTTCTACCAGTGAAAGAAAACAACACACTTAGAATTATTCCATACATATTTTAGGAGTAAAGAAGGATGAAGAGGCTTGGAGGACATTTCGTGATAGCAGGATCGAATCACAACTACAAATGCTTTTAGACCCATGAGGAGGTTTTTCATGTACATCTCTGTTCAGCTCCAGGAAAAGCCTTGAGGAACAAAATCAGTAAGATCAGAGGACTTGGCAAAGCTCTTGTCTCCCAAGAGTGGCTTTTTGATCTGGGGTTTAGGGAAAGAAAACCTAGTATCCGATGCATGCCAGGTGAGCATGCTACCACTGGGCTCCCAGAACACCCTTCCCCAGGGATATCTGGATGCTAGAACTCTCATGGTAAATGTAGAGAAAGTAGTCAACCAATGTTTTCCCTAAAGGGTCAGATAGGGTTTTAGGTCATGCAAGTTTTCCAATCTCTGCTGAAGCTACTTAATCAACACCACCATCATCACACAAAAGCACTCAAGAGACAGAAACCAGGAAGCATGAGGACAATCCAACCACATCTTATTTATAAACAGGCCCAGATCAGGTAACCTACTTCCTATGTGGTACTCAACCTTCTTGGGTGCCATGGTAAACTCCATAAAATAGGTCTGCTCCATGATCACAAAGGGTTTGCTTGTGTGGTACAGACATAGACTCACAGTCTCAGTAAATTCAAATATCCATGGAGGGATCAGTCAGTAAGTGCACACTGACAATTGGGAAAATGTCAGGACCTGAGAACCCTCTTCTGTTACCCAAATATATTGTTGTTGCTCAAAAACCTCATGTGTAAACATACTATGGGAATACAGAACGGGTAGCCATCATTTTATAATACCTTAGCTGGGAGAGTGGACTTAGAAACATGAACCTCAGAAGCCACAAAAGAAGAGATCATATGATAAGAACCTAGGTGAGAAAATTGACTTTATGGTCAGAGGGAATCATGGAATTAGCTTTAAAACACACGGCTTACAATGAGGAAATTACTCAGTTCAAAAAATTTAACAGAAAATCACAAACAACCTAGAAGCAAAGAGATATAATCCATAGTGTACAAATGGCCAATTAGTTCCAGTTACATGAATGGGTGCCAAGAAAAGAAAGGCTATATCCAGACTAAAAGTGATCCGAATCTGTCTCCTGTAGACAGATCAGCTCCTGCCTTGGCTTCTGGGATCACGTGCTCTCCAGCTGCTGTTTGAAGGCTGCTTTGACGTGGAATTCAGCCACTGCACTATGAGTCGTTCCAGCCCTCAGCCCTGCTGTGCCCAGGCTTGAGTCTGAAATGCCTCCAGATGGTTCCTGCAGTCAGTCCTCTGAGTCAGTCCCAAGTTTTTGTGTCTTCATGGCTGAGTCCCCAGACACACATGAGCAGAGTCAGCTGTCTCTGCATATTCTGTAGCCCCCTCATCCACACGGGCTGATGTAGCACGAATCTTAAAAAGTCTTATTAGTAAAAGCATGGGAGCCTGACACTTGGGCGAACGCTGAAAGATCAGAGAAACAGAACCAGCCACAGCTAACCCCACCTCACCAATTCCTCAGCTGATCTTGTTTCGTCAAACTGGAAGCCTCTGTGTCCTCATCCGAATGGATCTCAGCTGAACTGCTGCTCAAAAGCCTGAAAACTTAACCAACTCTAGTTCCTGGTTTTCATGCCTTATATACCTTTTCTGCTTCCTGCCATCAGTTCCTGGGATTAACAGTGTGTGTCACCATGCCTGGCTGTTTCCAGTGTGGCTTTGAACTCACAGAGATCCAGATGGATCTCTGCCTCTGGAATGCTAGGATTAAAGGCGTGTGTGCCACCATTTTCTGGCTTCTATGTCTGTCTAGCAGCTGTTCTGTTCTCTGACCCCAGATAAGTTTACTAAGGTGCACAATATATTGGGGGACACAATATATCACCACAGGCTGAGCTGTTTGCAACAACGGTTACTTTTTGCTTTGTGCTTTGGGGTCCACTTAGTGATGAATGACGCCCACCCCAGCAGAGGGTCTCAAGCCATCCTTAACATCCCTTGCACCAGCCAAGGAAGTCAGGAGGTGAGAGTGAGGGTCTTCGAGACCAAACATGACCCCAGAGCTCCCCCAGCTCAAAACCTTGTATTGGCAGTATGGCAACAATTTCAGACATCGGGATGCCTGGCAAACCAGGGAAGTGGAGAAGGCTGGATGGAAGAGGAAGAGAGCTGGCCATGGACAGTTAGGTGGGTGTGAAGAACTTAAGACAACTCCTCAAGTTCAGAGTCAGTTCTAGGAGGCAGATTTATCTGAGGAAAATGTTCACAGCAGCAAGACGAATCTGGAGAATGAGTCTGGAAGACAGTGTTGTCTTGGCATTTATCAAAGAAGAATGTGGAGAAGCTGCCCAGATCTGGCACACAGAGAGGGTAAGGACTGTGTCCATCACTTCTCTATCTTGACAAAACAGGACTTTGGAGAGAAAGTTTATCTTCTAGTTCAGAGGGATAGAGACTATCGTGGTGTGGAAGATGTGGCAACAGGGAGGGGAGGCAGGCAGCACGGGACGAGAAACTGGCTGATCCTATTTTCATCCTCAGGAAGGAGCCAGAGAGTGAGAACAGGAAGTGAGGTCAGGCTATAAAACCTCCAAGTCTGTCCCCAGTGATCCTTTCTCCAGCAAGGTTCAATCCCTAAAGCAATGGTTCTCAACCTGTGGGTCTTGACCTTTCTGGGGGTTGCACATCAAGTATTTACATTACAATACAGTGCAGTAGCAAAATTACGGCAATGAAAATAATTGTATGGTTGGGGGTCATCACACCATGAGGAACTGCATTAAAGAGTTGCAGCATTAGGAAGGTTGAGAATGACTACTCTAAAGGTTTACATTTTCAGAGGTTTTAGTCCATTATCATCATGCAGGCAGACATGGTGCTGGAGCTGAGATTTTATACATTTTGATAGGCAGGCAACAGGAAGTGGTCTGAGACACCAGGTATGGCTTGAGCATATCTGAGGCTTCAAAACCCGCCTCCGCAGTGACACACTTCCTCCAACAAGCCACACCCACTAAAACAAAGCCACACCTCCTAATAGTGCCACTCCCTTTCGGGGCCATTTTCTTTCAAACCATCACATGGCTTAGGTCCTAACCTAACCTAATTGTTAGTTAGAATGTCCAGGAGGAGAGATAGGTTTCTCCTAGGCAGGGATACATGTTGTGTTCTAAGATCTCATGCTTTTAGGCAAAGGGAAAGGATTTGCCTATCATGGCTTGTATAGAGCAGTACAGATCTTTCAAGCAAACCTTGGAGTTCAAGATTTTCAGTAGTATTGGACCAGATGTTTCCATCCCAGATATCAGGTTCCAAAATGTCCCCAGCCAGAGTACGCTGACCTTGGCATAGCAAACATACTAAGTTCGAGAGTTCAACCTTCATGGGTGTTCTATTGCTCGTACAGCTATGCTCTAGGCCTGACTCTTACCTTTGTATGTTCTGTAGTCACAGACCATGAGTGTCTCCTCTGTCAGGGGTGCCCTCTATGTTTCCTGCTTTGCCCTTAATTGGGTGATTCATCACTTTCAGTGTTTCATTGACGCTGGCCTGGAAAGCGTCAATAACCCCCAGCACTCATTGTGAAATTCCATAGTCCGCATGATTACTCTTTGATCTTTAGCACAGTGCATTTCCTTCCTTCATTTGCCACCTAATTCACTAGCACTCCCTTCAGGGAAGCAGGGACCCCTGTACTGGAACACAGCCTCCGTCTCAGTTGTCACCATTGCCGATGTTTTCTCTTACTATTTTATCATTTGCAAGTCATTAGGATGACACTCGGGAAGCTTTAAGTTAGGGACTGGGGTGGCTAATTTAGTATTTAGTTCTCCCGGGGTGGAAAAAAGGCACCTGCAGCTTAGAGAGTTGAAGTAATTGGATCGGCATCATGCAGAGGGTGAGATTAGAACCCATGGCCATATGCTACCAAACTCTTTTATGAGACAAGGCTTTGCACTGTAGACTTTAATGCCAACCTAGAGTGGCACCATGACTATTACTAGCAAAACACTTACGGCAGCATTCTCTTTGGCAGCTCTGGGATTGTGAGTGCACATGCACAGAAACCGTTTTTCCTTCACTGACAAGGTCCGTGACTTTTGGTCCTAACGAACTTTGTGCCTGATAGCTCCCCAAGTTCTCACAACCGAGACCCCAGCCACTGTTCTTCCATTATGACCCTTGGGGGTTAAGGCTGGGTAGTACATATTGGGTCTCAGTGGCCTCCGTCCAGAGCCTTTCCCACCCAGGGACACAAGCTGTGGACTGGCTTCACAGACCCCACGCCCACAGCCGGAAAGCTCGGCTCCTCTTTTCCCCGACTCAGCTGTGCAGCTGTTGGCTCTTGACTCTGATCCCTACCACTCTGGATGAAAAACGATACAGGCAAAAGGAAGTAATCCATGGTTTACTAATCCTTCAGACACAGAGGGAATTGAAAGGAAAAAAAAAAAAAAAGAACTCTGATGTGATGGGAAAGGGATTCTGGAAAGCGGCCTTTCTGAAAACAGCCGGAAAGGAAGATTAAGCCTGTTTTGCTGTGAGCCAGAGGCATTTACTCTTATACCCAGGGTCTTATAACACTCAAGGACACTGGGAATGTGCCTGTTGTACAAGAGGAAAACCACTGTTAGCACCTGTAGGGGTGGGAGGAGTACCTTCCTGCCTTCACTTCCAAGTGCTAGGATTCTATGCATGTAGTCAGAGCTGACCTCTAGACTATTGGCTGCCTACCTGTGGTAGACGCCCTCAGAGATTCTGGGAGATGATCGAGGAGTAAAAATGAGCACAGTCTCTAGCTTCAGGCAGAGACCCTGCAGTATTTTGGGGAGTTGGAGATGGCCAAGGGGGCACACAGCTGTGCTGATCATGGGAGGATGGGGTGTAGGTGCTAGGGCAGGATTTGCTAGGAAATACGATTTCTTAGACATAGAGGGATGTGGGAGAAAGTTTTCTGAAGGCATGGGCAGAACAAGGCAGTGATGAGGGTAGAAATATGAGGGGGTGGGGCTGAGGGAGGAGGAAGAGCCTGAGAACAAAGAGGGATGCTGTGTGTTTAAGGAAGCGCTAGGGGGCAGTGTGGTTAAGAGTTCCAAATGCAGGAGGAGAACCCCATGCAAAAGTGCCTAAAGGGAAGCCGGGCAGTGGTGGCACGCCTTTAATCCCAGCACTCCAGAGGTAGAGCCAAGCAGATCTCTGTGAGTTCGAGGCCAGCCTGGTCTACAGAGCTAGGTCCAGGAAAGGCGCAAAGCTACATAGAGAAACCCTGTCTTGAAAAACAAAAAACAAAACAAAACAAAAAAACCAAAAACAAAAAAGTTCCTGAAGGGTTCTGGTGAATCCCACCAGCTAGCTGCTCAATGGTGAGTCCATGGCAACCACTGGAGACTCCTAGTTGAAGTACAATGGGTTAAATTTGTACTTTGAAAAAAAAAAAATCTACCTAGGTAGGAACGTGGAGTAGACAGGAGGCACAGCCCTGAAATGGATGATGGGAAGAGAACATGGAAGTTTGGATTAAGAAGATTGTGATCTGGATTGAAATATTAGACACGTTTGAAAAGTTAGGAAGGAAATAAGGGGGAAACAGGGTAACATTAGCAGCTTGGAGCAGAGAGAAAGCCACGTGTTCATAATTAGTGGGTTTATAGCTACAGCAGCTGTGTGAGCAATGCTCAATTATGTGGAAAACTAGGCTAGAGTCAAAGCGATGTGGGGCATCAGATTGACTATGGGCATGGCTTTGGGACGTGAGACTGAAGCCAGTGAAGGGTCAGGTGAGAGCAGGGCTTGGCCAGATGTGGAGTTGAGGGTCTACATTGAAGTGAGCCATAGCCATTGAATGGTCAGGATGGCTGCAGAGAAAACACAGAATAAAAAGAGCCCTGGGCTGATGTATTCTGCCGTGTTGGGGCCGAAGACTGAGCATTCCACATGAGCGTGGATTGACACGCACAGGGCTGAAGAGCCACCACAACCAGGCATGGCTTCTTAACATGTATCTTAACTGCTGCATCACCTTGGCAATAGCTGTAGTTTCATTATTTGTTTGTTGTTTACTTAACGTGTTTCTTTAAAAAGTTTTGAGATACAGTCTCATGTAGCTCAGGCTGGCCTCAAACTCTTTGTGAAGTCCAGGATGACCTTGAATGTTCCTTTTTCCTGCCTCCTCCTCTGGAGTGTGGGGATTACAGGTGTGTGCCACCATGCTAGGCTTATGTTATGCTGGAGATAAAACCCTGGGTTCCATGCATGCTGGAAAAGCACTCTGTTTAGGTACAGGATGATGCAGAGAATAGAAGAGAATTCAGGAACGAGGAAAAGAGGGAAGGCATGAAAGGTAGAAAAGGCCCTTGTCCCCATTCTTGATGTTATCCATGTTCCACTCATCTATGTGTGGCTCATCAGGAGTCTCCAAGCTTCTGTGACAAGGAGAGATTAAGTGCAAAAAAAAAGGAAATGAGAAATTCAGAGATATTCTCATCTTTGAGACGTATCCTGCCTATTCAGTCTGGGCCAAGAAGACACGTGCCTTCTATCTGCTGTTATATAGAATTTCTCCGGGAGGGCTGGTGAGATTGCTTAGTGAATTTAAAAGGCTTTTGTTCCCAGGCCTGGTGACGGGAGTTCAATTCTCAGTATCCACAAAGTGGAAGGAGAGAACTGACTCCTGCAAGTTGTCTTCTGACCTCCAGAGGCACACCATGGCATGGCCCCCAACCAAATAAATAAGTAAACAAATAAATAAACCAACTAATGTAATCAATTAAAAAAAAAACCTTCCCTGGAACAGTAAAATGAAGGATAGAGAAAGGAAGACAAATCTCATTTTGCAAAATCTTAACTTTGACTCCTCATACCCAAAGTCAAGTGAAGATCCTCATTAGGACCCTTCACAGTTGAGTCTCAGTGCCCACAGTTCACCGTCCTCAGCCACCCCTCCAGCTCAGGCCCTACCTGACCCACTATCTCCACCCCTGCTTCCTTCTTCAGGCCTTGGGTTTAATTTCCACACCCAGAATGTTCTTGCTATATTTCTTTCTAGTCTTGCTTCAGCCATGCTCCAGGGGAGGTCTCCTCTCCTAGCACAATGCCCGTAGTGACGGTATTTCCAGGTCCACGTTCATAGTTGACATTGAGTGTGCTCCTGGGTTCAGCCAACATGATTGGATGTGGCTTATTCTCAACCTACAATCAGTGGGAAATGTGAAAGATAAATGCAGGTGTGCACGTGACCCACTGCCTCCCATCTTGGGGAAGGTAGGAGGGGACCATTTCTTCTCTGTTTGGATTATGCTTGTGCAGCTACTGGCCTGTTTGTTCCCAAGCCTCAGAGGTGCTGCTCAGGCCAAGAGCACAGTTGGGCATGGTCCCAGGCTGGTGGAGAGCATTCCTGGGAAATTGGCACCATGGAAGAGGGTGCACTCACAATCACCCAAGGACTGCCAGCTCACCATTAAATTTATCCTTTTAAAGTCTTAGCTTAGCCTTACATATTTTCAATTTTTTATTTAATTTTATTCTATTTTTGGGAGTGTTTGCTTGCATGCATGTATGTGCAGCACATCCGCACTTGGTGCCCGAGGATTCAGGAGAGGGCATCAGTGTCTCTGGAATGAGAGCTGCAGACAGTTGTGAGCTGCCCCGTAGGTACTGGGAACTGAAGCCTGGCCCTCTGCAAGAGGAGCAAGTGCTCTGAACTCTTGAGCCATCTCTCCAGCTCTGCTTTGTCTTTTTGCAAGCAAAATGACTAGGATAATCTACTTGTGAGTAATAATTTAATTAGAAATTTGAATGACCTTGAAACCAGAAGCTTTTGAGTAACAATGACAGGAAAACACCATAGCAGTCCTCAGATCTGGGACTACTAAGTTCACTTCTGCATAGGAACACAGAGAGAACACAGCGTTGCCATGGACACCAACCCTTTGTTGTCCTCATGTTGGGCTTACTAAGTTAATTTGAATCAGCTCACAAGAACACGTTAGGGTCTAACATGGTGCTACATGGCTGTAATCCTGGCACCTGGAGGATGAAGTCAGGAAGATTATGAATTAAAGATAATTCCTGGCTGCATTGTGAGTTTGTGACCAGCCTGAGATACAGGGGACCACTTCTGTGTGTGTTAGGGTTTCTGTTGTTGTGAAGAGACACCATGACCATGGCAACTCTTACAAAGGAAAACATTTAATTGGATGGCTTACAGTTCAGAGGTTTAGTCCATTATTTGTCATGGTGAAATGTGGCAGCGTGCGGGCAGACATGGTGCTGGAGAAGGAGCTGAGAGTTCTACATCTTGATCCACAAGCAACAGGAAGTAAACAGTATATCACGCTGGGCATGGCTTGAGCATAGGAGACCTCAAAAGCCATCTCCACAGTGACACACTTCCTCCAACAAGGCCACACCTCCTAACAGTGCCACTCCCTATGAGCTTATGGGGGCCAGTTACATTCAAACTACCACATCATCTTAAACAACAGTAATAACAGTAACATAATATAGGACAACAACAACATCCCCCCAAACCACAAGGCAAAGTTCACCAA